AATACTTTGATAGTCCTCCCAACCTGTCTCCTTCCCTTGAACTTTGGCAGGCCTTGCAGTTGCCTCAACAAAATGCATTCGGAGAAAGTGATATTAATTCCAAGGCTCTGATAGAAAAGGTAATATATACTGTCTTTGTTTCTTTCTCTCTCACTCTTTCCCACCATCTGGGGAATTTGTACCACCTCAATGTTAGATACTCATCCATTCCCTAGTGCCAGAAAATCATTGATAACACATTCTTCAACCTACTCCAAACTCTTTTCCTCATTCCGGGGATGTCTGTGAATATCTTCCCCATCCATGTTGTCAGTCTTCTGGTGTATGTACCTTATCTATCCACTATCCACTGAATTGAAATGCACCAGTGGTTGTCAAACATAGAGAGGAATTGGCTTTACTCTTTGGGATTTGGTTTGCCCTTGGCTTTCATCTCTGCAGGCAGTCCTCATACATTATCAGTGCCTGCCTCTTCTCTATCCACTTTCCTCTGTTCATTATCAGTGCCAATGAAGCAAAGACCCATGGTTGAGCCCCTTCTCCTTGGTGGTCTTCTTAAGCAACAGACTCTTCCACAAGACAGTCCACCTGAAGTGTGCCCCGAGTGACTCAACCTCTGCAGAGAATCTCCCTTCCCCGCATTCACCTCCTGCCAAGCTTGAGGCTTCTGCAGGCCAATGAGTAACCTGCCATCCAGAAGAAACCAGTGGTTTGGAAAGAGGCTTTGTAGCTCTTTCCTTGTTCATAGCCCCCTCCAGGAAAGCAGGGTTCATTTTGCCAGGCCCTTCTGCATATTCCCTCCTCTCTAAGGAACTTGGATTCTTGTCTCTGGTGCACATGAGGCCCAAAATTCCTGACACTATATGTAGATTTTTGAACACTTGTGAGTCTTAGAGGATCACATGTTTTTCTGTAGCTTTTTATTAGGATTTGCCAGCTCCCATGCCTGGACTGATTTGAATACTTTTCTCCCTGTACCATTTACCATCCCACCTCCCCTTCCTGCCTTCCACCATCCTTGGATGAATGGATTTGTAATTCTAGGTGTATTTTGTGGACCTGTTATTTTTATGGATATGGGAGGTAAAGGAGTGTATCATTCGTTCCTTGTCACTCTCTTTATAGCCATCACTGTCTTGTTTCTTGTAACTCAGGTTAGGTTTTGGTCTTTCTTGCTCCAATGCAAAAGAAAACAAAACAAAATGAAAAATGCTACCAGAAGAAAGACCTTATAGCCAGATCTGAGTTTTGAGAAGTGATTTTTCTTCCCTTCAGAGGGAAAAATCTTCTTCCACTGGTACGTTTGAAGTTGCCCAACTACAATAAGCTACTGATTTTGGATGAGTGCTACTGCAACACAGAGTGCTCAGAGAACCTGGACTTTTAAACTCTGGAGGTCTGAAATTTGCTGTTGGTCACTATTGAGTCTCTCAGTGTTTCAAAAAAATTTAGGTTCTCCAAATAAAAAATGAAGGTGTCAACTTATTAAACACATTAAACCTGTGATTTGTTAGCTTTTTCCTGACATTTTAAAGAGACTAATATGGGGAAAGAAGGTAGATGTCACATCACTTGTAATTTTAATGTGTTTTACAGTTAAACATGAGTTGATATCATAAATCAATACATAAATATAAATTTATATGTTGCATGTGTATCCTCCTGTGGAATCTATTAACTGTGGCAAGGTCAATATGAAATGTTTGTATGTCATCATCATCACCTAAGTGTGCATCTACATTTTGTTTTTTCTACTTGTATACCAAATGCTATGACTGTTACCATCTTAACCATTTCTGTTTCTATGGATTGAACTAGATACTGCAGGATCCTGAAATCATAGTGTACTTGTCTTTTATTTGTATTGGTCCTTTCTCTTAGTATAATGTTCTTAAATTTCATCCATGTTGTAAAATGTGTTAGAATTTCCTCATATTTAAAGGTTAAGAATATTCTGTGATTACAGCACACTTTGTATATTGATTCATCTATGGACACCTGGGTTGTTTCCACATTTTGGAGGAAAAGTTTACTTTATATAATAAAGAATGAGGGCAGGTTTCACTAATCATTGACTAGAATCCAAGTCTGTTTTTGCAATTTCATAACAAGAGCTACTGTTACTAATTATTATCATTACACTTCTATTCATCCTTCTGCTTATCCTGATCTCCTCATCCTCTTTCTCCACTCCTACTGACATTGCCACTGTCCCTTAATGTGAAGGGGCACATTTTTCAACACAGGTTTAGACTGAATAGAACTTTCACTGATCTTACCTCAGCCTTTCCTCTTGGGAAAGCTTCAATATATAGCTTAAATAATTTGCAGTTAAAGGAAATATTACATTAACCATTGAATAAGATCTTTTTTATGTTGCTGCTTTCAAATGGCAGGGAAGGATCTTTTAATAGATCAGTTAACTAGTTCAATAAGTGATTATTGCTTTCTAATAATTCTTAAAAGCATGATATCAATTTAAAACAGATTCTTTCCCTCACAAGAATATATCTTATAGACTAACAGAATTCTTTGCATTTTTAAACTATGAACAGTGTTCAGATAGAAGTGGTAGAAACAATTTAGACTTCGTTAAATTCAAAGAATTTATGGTTGTTATTTTATATGCACTGTACATTTTTTCTTTAATCATTTTGACGGGCAACTATGATGGTAAAAACGATATTCATTGAGGGGTCTTTACTGAGGTTTCCTATGGGCTTCATTTATGGCAGAAAACACCTGCTGTAATAAGCAAATCTCTTTTATGCTCTAGGGATCTCAAATTCCTAGGATCTCAAATGAGTAGTTGTTTAAATGCTGTACTGAAGGCAAGTAAACTTTGGGTTTGGCTGCCAGTGTTGTTGGGGTGCACATTCATATCGTCGAGGAATGGTCTTTCCTTTAAACTAGAGGACTGGTGAAGATCCTCACACTTATAAGAACACAAAATTTGATGCAGATTCATTATTCTGCTCACTCAGTCATTTTGAATGAGATGGCCACACAGTACACATGCTCATTCAACAGTGTCTACCACAACCACTGACTGGTACAGTGAAGTCATCATTGTTCATGCATATGCATTCCAATCCACTCTCCTTGGCTGCCAGGTTACATTAATGTCACACAAATTATTTGCATTATATTAAAAATGGCTGGCCTTTTTCCAGACAGATCTCATCATATTCATATACTTGTTATAATAGACTTTTATCTCTACTGTCACATTAGTACATTCAGAATTATAAACAGTTATTAATCTCAGAAATAAAGAATTAAACCTGCATTTGTTTACTCTGTAGAGTTTCAAAATTAATTAATTCAATGCAGTGACTTCAACTCCTCAATTAACCCTACTGTACACACAGAAATGCATTTCCCTAGAATACTCTGTCTAGATTATACATTTTACCAAGCTGTTCTCTTGTTTATAGATTTTGCAAGTAAACTATGAGGTTTTTGTGAATGGCTACTATTGTATCTGCTTCATGTTAGAAGCTTAATACTATTTGTATTTTAAATAGAAGTATTTTTTAAAAACAGCCAAAAAGATTTACGAGAAAATAGAAATGCTCAACCTTAATTTCAGCTCATTTTGTTTTTAATGGAGAGATATAACATTACAAAAATATAGACATAGAACTTGTTTACCCACTCTTCAGTAAGATTTTAGGCCTATAAAAGATTATTTATAAGCACTTAGTGAAGAAATGTAAGTAATCATGAGATACCTCAAACAATAGCTTCCTGAGTCTGGAATAGAGCCTTTACATTTCTCTACTGTCAAAGATTTCTTCAGATAACATGGCAAAACAATTTAATTATTAAATAAGGAAACTGAGGAGAAACAGGTGGAAACAACTGTCTCGGTGCTCCTTAGCATTGTGCTAGATATGCAACTGCGCAATCTATTTCACTTATTTTGGCAATGATCTTAATTATTCCCTCCTTCTATTTATTTGGGGGTTTATCAGGCTTTTTCTAGTTTCAATAAATGTAAAGTTAGATTTTTTATTTGGGATTTTTCTTGTGTCTTGAGATAGGCCTCTATACCTATGAACTTTCCTCTTAGAACTTCTTTTGCTGTATCCCATAAATATTGAAAAGCTGTGTTTTCATTTTTATTTGTTATAAGGTACTATTGATTGGGGGGGGGGCGTTGATTTGCTCTTGCTCTGTGGGGGATGGTGAAGGCTGGCATAACACCAAAGGTTGAGTGCTTAACAAAGCACACTTGACTGCTTGCATCTGCAAGGCGGATCCAAGCTGGCAGACAGCAGCCAGAACCTGCGGGGGTTGAGAATGAAATAGATACCATGAGTTTCAGCTGAATGTGACTGTAACTTTTGCAGAAGACGTATGTATCAGTTAGATAGCCTGGGAACTGAGCAATATGTGTCTGCAGCATCTCCCTAAGTTTGCAAAATGTCCTTGAGCTCTATCTAACCAACCCCTATAAAATAAACGTGGAGACCATGTTCGTGGTTCATTGTCTCTCCATCAGAGGATATATGCAATGACTTGCAGGTTCTCTGTAATAGCAGAGTGAAATTTGTCTCACTGTCACAGCTGTTGTGATGCCCCTTCTTTGGGTTCAACTCTGGTCTTTTCACAAATCCAGGTTTTTGTCTCTCATAGATATTTAAAAAAAAACATAAAAAAGGCAGACGAAGGAAGGAAGAAGAGATAAAATTTAAGGAAAGAAAGGAGGAAGAACTAAAACAAGAACGCAGGAAAGAGAAGAAAAAGAAATTAAGAGAATAAAAATAATACAAATTTAAAAATTAAGAATTGTTAAAAAGTAGAATAAAACTGAAAGGTCTCTTGGTTTCAAAGTAGCCAAACTGATTTTTCTGGTCTTGCGGGCTGCGGCTGGCCTGAGGGGTGTGGTACGGCTTTTCTTCCTTCCGATCTGCATCTGCACTCGGTCAGCGGCGCGCACTGTCTGGGAAGCTATCGCAGCTCCTCGCCCCGCACCCTGGGTGTGGGAATCAGGCCTTTCTCCAGGGTTATTGCTGTGGACTGGGGTGTACGACCCAACCCCTCCTGTGTCTACAGACTCCAAGGGTGGTCACAGCCCTTGGGTGTTTGCTAGCAACTGGGTTCCAACCGGTGCCGCCCAGACCTTATTTGGCTGGGGAGGGAGCAGTTGCCCCGCCTCTCTCCCAAGGACTTGGTGGCAAACCCGGCAGCAGGCACTAGGGCTGGGGCTGCAGGCCCCGCAAACCCGGAGCTAGTCCCTGGGACCCTACCGTGTTGCAGCACTCCTCTCACCGTCTGGTTTTTCGGTTCCGCCACAATCCTTGGTCCCCTATTTTCACGTATGCTGAGGTATGTTGGTTGCTTGCTCCTGTACTCTGTAGATCGGCCAGGATTTTCTCCCTTGTGCAGGGGGAAGCCGAATCCGATGCCATCTTCCTTCTCCTTCCTGTAAGAATTATTTTTTACTTTCCCCTCCACATTTCATGTTATCGATGTCATGTTTTAGAAATTTTTGTGTTGTGTACCCCCTAACTACTTGTATTTTGAGTTGGGTTACGTACATTTTTTCTTTTGACCTTTATACTAGCTTTTTTAATGTCTGATTTACTGTATTTATTAAATATACCTGTGATTTTTTCCTTTCTTATGTTTCCTTATTACTGGTTATGCCCTTTTGTTTCAACTGAGGTAAGATAAGAGACTTGCACATGCAAGACCACTGATAGCACTTATAATCATAGAACAGATGCAAGGTTATCTACATTAGCTTTTCCCAGTTCCATCCAAATACTCTGTTTATACAATGCATTTACTTTGAGGTGTGGGAGTTAAATTTTAACTTTCTGATTGATTTCTCCTTCAATAAACATGAGCAATGAGGAAAGAGATCAGCAGTTTGGAAGGAAGCATGTGTTCCAGCAGAATGTCTATGAAATGGATTTCGGTTCTTCTGCTGCTACAGCTGAGTTGTCAGTTCAGCCCTGGGGGTTGTGGAAAGGTGCTGGTGTGGCCCACCGAATACAGCCATTGGATCAATATGAAGATCATCCTAGATGAACTTGTCCAGAGAGGTCATGAAGTGACCGTTCTGACACATGCAGCTTCAATTTTTGTTGATCCCAATAAACCATCTGCTATTAAATTTGAGATTTACCCTACATCTTTTGAAAAAGATGAACTTGAGAACATTTTCATGCAGATGATCTCCAAATGGGCATATGAACCTAAAGATACATTTTGGAATTATTTTTCACTAATGAAAGACATCCTTGTCCTACATGCTGATTGTATTCAAAAGACCTGTAAAGATGCAGTCTCGAACAAGAAACTTATGACAAAACTACAAGAATCAAGGTTTGATGTCATTCTCGCAGATGCCATTGGACTCTGTGGGGAGCTGCTGGCTGAGCTCCTTGAAATCCCTCTTGTATACAGTCTCCGCTTCTCGCCTGGATATGCATACGAAAAGTATGCCGGAGGACTTCCACTCCCTCCATCCTACGTACCTGTTATCTTCTCAGAACTAAGTGATCAAATGACATTCATGGAGAGGGTAAAAAATATGATATATATGCTTTATTTTGACTTTTGGTTCCAAACATATAATCAGCAGAAGTGGGATCAGTTTTACAGTGACATACTAGGTAAGTCTTGTTTTAATAGCTTAATGTCCTGACTTTGCTCTTGCCATGGGGGGTAAGTTTGTATAAATATAATGTTAGAGGAATTTGTCTTTCTTAAATGATATGTCTAAATAATAATATATAATGATTTTTCAATCTCACAAATATTATAGAAGTCTTTAAATTACAAGATTATTTTTAAACCTATGGTTCATTATTAATACAGGGCCCTTCTAAAATCAGAGACCCCAAACTGAAGCACTGAGAAGTTCTAGAAGCAATTACATATCCATTCTTTGTTTGTTTGTAATATAATTTAGTTTTTATTCTTTTTTTGGAAAGTGTTTTAGTCTCTCTTTGTTGTTTCTTAAATAAAGTGTCAAAATATTGGTCATCCTATACTTATTATTAGGGCTCTTCTAAGTTCACAGCAATATTGCATAAGATCTCCCACATAACCCCTGCCCCCCAAATTTGCATAGACTCCCTCAGTTTCAACATATCACCAGAGCAATAGATACATTTGTTACAATTGTTGAACCTATATTGACACATCATTATCATCCAAAGTGCAGTTTATGTTGGAGTTCACGCATGGCATTATATTAATATATTCCATGGGTTTTGACAAATTTATACTGACATGTATTATAAGGAGTAGTTTCACTGCCCTAAAAATTCTCTGTGCTGCACCTACTTCTAATAAATCCATTTTACTATATATTTTTTTATCTTTAAAAAACAGCATTAGAAATTTCACTATCTTGATCAAAGCAGAAATGTAGATTAAGTTACTTTATTTCTAACACAGCTAGAAATTTGTTTCCATTTATTTGTCCTCAGTTTCCTTATTTAAAATTAAAAATTAAATTAATCTTATTTAAAATTACTTTTTTTGCCATGTTGCCTAAATATTCTTTTACAATTGACAGATATTCTATCCTGGGCTCAAGAACCTATAATTCAAGGTTTCTAATGATTATACATTGAGTCACTAAGTGCTTACCAATCATTTGTTTTAAAAGCCAAGAATCTTGTTCAAAGGTAAACAATCAAGTTTTAATCCTATATTTTTTAAAATTATATCTCTCCAGTACAGACAAAAATGAGCCAAAATTAAGGAGGAGGAACTCTATTTCTATATCTTATGAAAATGTTCCATTATTTTTTAATTTATTATTAAATGTATATGAATATTATTAAGCTCCTAGAATGAACCAAATGCAATTGTGGGTATAAGGAATTGAGGTATAATTTCAAAAACCTCACAGCTCTTGTTAAATTCGTATAAAGAGATTAGCTTGCTACATTATAGAAACTAAGCTGAGTACATCAGGAAAACATGTTTTCATTGGTTAATTGATTAGAGAGCTCACATAATGTCTGCATTTGCACCTGTTACTTCTATAGCTTTACAGAGTAAACAAATATATTTAGTTCTATAGTGATTTGCATTTAATATTTTTTTATTATTGAGAATGTACTGATGTCACATTAGAGAGTCTAGTACTTTGTCTTATATATATGAAAATAAACATAAAGCATGCAAATTTTATATATTTGTGTCAATATATATGGATATATATGAGTATATTCATATACATGAATTTATAAAACCACAGACACTTTAAAACATTTTGGCTACTTTATTTCAAGCACCTTTCAGAAAATTTCCTAGTATAGTTTTTACATTAAAATACTCTCATTTCCTCTATTTTCTGTTTTTTTCCTTTAGAAAGACCCACTACATTGTATGAGTTAATGGGGAAAGCTGAAATGTGGCTCATTCGAACCTCGTGGGACTTTGAATTTCCTCACCCAGTCTTACCACATTTTGATTTTATTGGAGGACACCACTGCAAGCCTGCCAAACCCCTGCCTAAGGTTATTTATTTATTTTAATTTTATTTTATTTTGTTATTTACTTCTGTTTGTTTTTTCTTTTGAGGACCTTCACTAGTATTCCACCTTAGAAGGAAGACAGTCCTCAACAATGTGGGTTTGTGTTCCAACAGTATTTGCAGTGAAACCCAACATTTACTTGCTGTCACTCCAGCATTTAAAAAGTTCCCCTTTTGAGATTTTAGGATTTAACATCTTGGCATAGAAAGGGATTGCATAATCTATCAAAGCGGGTGTTTCCTGCCACACACCACACCTGTACAACATTTCAGTAAAGACCCCTGGGGGGGCATGGTTTCCAACGTTACAACAGACTGACAAAAAGAGCACAAAAATATGTGCACTACATGTATAATATGGACCAAAAATTTGCTTGTTTAGTAGTCAAAATAATTTCTACCAATGTGTCTGAAAATTGCCCATAGTACAAAACTGCAAAAGAATTGTTAGTTTATAGGATATTCCTTATGAAGGAAAATAATAATCTAATGTTTTCATTGCTATCATACCTTTAAGACATTTACAAAACAAGCATCCTTTACTGAATTATTTTGTTATATCTTAAGACATCTTGTTTGTCTACCATTTGGCAGCAACATAAAACAAAAATCTTATTCAATATCTATTTAGACTTAAAATGTTTAGCTGTATATAGTAACTTTCACAAGGTCTAAGCTTGAGGTAAAATTAGTAAAAGTCAATGTAACCCTATTCTTTAGCTCTAATGATGTATAATTGACATGTAAAATTATAAGATATATAAAGTATACATAGTGATTTGATATGTATATACACTGTGAAGGGATTCTGCACATGTAGTTAATTAACACATCCATCACCTTACATATTTATCCTTTTTGTGTGAGAGAGAACATATAAACCCTGCTCTCAGCAAATTTCAGTGATACAATGCTGGGTTATCAGCACTAGTCACCAGGTTATACATTAAACCTTCAGACCTTATTCACGTGCTAGATAAAAGCTGAGGCTCTTATACTAGCATTTCCCTATTTCTTCCACCTACAACCTCTGGCAATCACTTCTCTATTCTTTTTCTAGATTTGCTTTTTTTTTTAATTCCATATATGATAATATGCACTACTTGTCTTTCTCTGTCTCGCTTATTTGGCTTATCATGATGCCCTCCTGGTCCATTTATATTGTAACCAATGGCATAATTCCTCCTTTCTCGTGACTGAATAATATTCTGTGTCTTACCTATTGTGAATAACTGCAATAAACAATGGATTATAGATATCTTTTCAATATCCTGTTTTAATTTCCTTTTTATCTATGTATCTATATCTCAGTATACCTAAGACAGGGATTACTAGAGCATATGATAGTTCTATTTTAAATTTTTTTAGTTATGTTTTATTGATTATTCTGTTACAGTTGTCCTGATTTTCCTCCTTTGCCTCCTCCACCCAGTGCCCCGCATTCCCTCAGGCAATCCCCCCACCACTGTTCATGTCCATGGGTCATGTGTATAAGTTCTTTGGCTGATCCATTTCCTATACTGTACTTTACATCCCCATGGCTATTCTGTGACTACCTATTGGGTATCTTTTTTTTCTTTAAATATATTTTATTGATTATGCTATTACAGTTGTCCCATTCCCCCCCTTTATTCCTCTCTTCCCTGCACCCCCCTCCCACCCACATCTCCCCCACGCTTAGTTCATGTCCATGGGTCACACATATACATTCTTGGGCTTTTCCATTTCTTATACTATTCTTAGCCTCCTCCCCCTCTTTTGTACCTACCATTTATGCTTCTTATTCCCTGTACCTTTTCCCCCGTTCTCCCCCCTCCACCCCCCCACTGATAACCCTCCATGTGATCTCCATTTCTGTGATTCTGTTCCTGTTCTAGTTGTTTGCTTAGTTTGTTTTTGTTTTTAGGGTTTTTTTTTAGGTTTGGTTGTTAATAGTTGTAAATTTGTTGTCATTTTACTGTTCATAGTTTTGATCATCTTCTTTTTCTTAGATTAGTCCCTTTAACTACCTATTTGTATTTCTTAATTCCCTCACCTCTTCATCCATTCCCCCACACCCCCCACCCTGCCATCCAGCAACCATCAAAACACTCTCTGTATCCATAATTCTGTCCTTGTTTTTCTTGTTTGCTTAGTTTGGTTTTTAGATTTAATTATTGATAGATATACATTCATTGCCATTTCATTATTCATAGTTTTGATCTTTTTCATAAATAAGTCCATTTTATAGACCATTTCAAATAATAATGGTTTGGTGATGATGAACTCCTTTAGTTTTTTCTTATCTGGCGAGCTCTTTTTCTGCCCTTCCATTATAAATGACAGCTTTGTTGGGTGTAGCAATCTTGGCCATAGGTCCTTGCTTTTCACGTCTTTAAATATTTCTTGCCAATCCCTTCTAGCCTGCAAAGTTTCTTTTGATAAATCAGCTGACAGTCTTATGGGAGCTCCCCTGTGGTTAACTAACTTCTTTTCTCTTGCTGTTTTTAAAATTCTTTCTGTATCTTTAACCTTTGGCATTTTAATTATGATATGTCTTGCAGTGGGTGTCTCTGCATCCATCTTGTTTGGAACTCTCTGTGCTTCCTGGATTTGCATGTCTATTTTCTTCACCAAATTAGGAAACTTCTTTCATCATATTTTCAAATAGATTTCCAATTTCTTGCTCTTTCTCTTCCCCTACTGGCACCCCTATGATGTGAATGTTGGACTGCTCAAAGTTGTCCCAGAGGCTGCTTACACTGTTCTCTCTCTCTTTTTTTTTTTATTCTTTTTTCTTCTTGTTGTTGTGATTGGTTGTTTTTTGCTTCCTTATGTTCCAAATCATTGATTTGAGTCTCAGTTTCATTCACTGCACTGTTGTTTCCCTGTAAATCATTCTTTATTTCAATCAGTGTATCCTTTGTTTCTGACTGGATCTTTTTTATGCTGTTGAGGTCCTTAGTATATTCCTTGATCATCCCTATAACCAATGTTTTGAACTCTGCATCCGGTAGATTGCTTCTCTTCATTTAATTTAACTCTTTTTCTGGAGTTTTTTTCTGTTCTTTCATTTCGGTCGTATTTCTTTGTTTCCTCCTTTTGGCAGCCTCCCTGTTTTTGTTTCTACATATTAGGTAGAGCTACTTTGACTCCTTGTCTTGGTAGTGTGGCCTAATGAAGTAGGTGTCATGTACAGTCCAGTAGCACAGACTCCCCTATTACTCAGGCTGGGTACTCAAGCTGTGCCTTTCATGTGGGCTGAGTACATCCTCCTCTTGTAGATGAGCCTTGATTGCTGTTGGCAGGTCAATTGGAGGGATTTACACAGGCCACTCAGCTTCAAGGACTGGCTGTGACCACTGACCACTACCCTCTGCCCTCTGTGGAGGACCAGCTATGTAGAGGCAGGGTAGTTTTGCTCCATTGTGGTCTGTAGCTGTCCACTGGATGTGCAGGCTCCAGGGTTTCCTGAGTGGTACAGCATAAAGTCACCCCCCACCTATGTTTTGCCCCGGGCCACCCTGCGTGAGCTGTAAAGCAATCTGAGCTGGCTGCTACTTGTGCTGGGCTTGGAGATTCCCAAGCTGTGAATCTAGGCTGTCTATTGCTAACAGCAGGTTGTGGCTCACTGAGGCCAGCTGTTGCTTGTTTGAGAATATTTAGGAATTTTAAAGCATGAGCCAAGGCCAGCCATTCATATGGAAAAGTAGCTTAGGTGAGCCCATAAATTTTGTGTGGCGCAATCTCAGGAGTTGTCCAGGGCAGGGAAAATGGTGTTAACCAGGTTTATAGAGTCTCAGATATGGCACCAGCCTACCGGTTCTGTGCAGGGAGGGTTCAGCAAAGGGACAATGGCCTGTGCTAGCCCTGATGCCAGACACTTCAATTTCTCCCTGTATGCCACTGGTACCTTTCAGCTGGAGCTCAGAGGGAGTGAGTCTAAGTAGGTGAGTCCATATGGGGGTTCTTTAAGGGAAACTCTTTGAGGCTCCATCAGTTTCCTCCACTGATTGAATCCCTGCTGGTTTTTGCATCCAGAAGTGGTGGAGACTTATCTTCCTGGCACTGGAACCCTGGGCTGGGGGGCCTGGTGTGGGGCTGGAACTCTTCACTCCCAAGACATCCCTCCCAAATTTTTGCCCACTACACATGGATGTGGGAACACCCCATTCCACACTGGCACCCTTCCTACAGGTCAGAATGAGTGTGGTTTCTTTAATTCCATAGTTGTCAGACTTGCATTCAGCTCAGTTTCTGATGGTTCTGAGTGATGGTTGTTCTATATTTTAGTTGTAATTTTGATGTGGTTGTGGGAAGAGGCAAGCCATATCTGCCTATACTGCCATCTTGACTGGAAGTCCCTATTTTTAATTTTTTGAGGAAACCACACTTTTTCCATAGTGGCTGTATCAATTTACATTTTTACCCTACTCTTTGTGTCCCCTTTTCTCCAAATACTAGCCAAATTTGTTATCTCTTGTTCTTTTGATGATAGGCGTTCTATCAGGTGTTAGGTGGTATTTCATTGTGGTTTTGACTTGCTTTTCCCTGATAATGAGTGATGCTGAACCCCTTTTTCATGTACCCATTTTCCATTTGTATGTTTTCTTTGGGAAATGGCTCTTTAGAGCTCTTCCCATTTTTTATGCCCATGTTTTAATGAGTGGTATTTTTGCTACTGAGATGTGTAAGTTCTCTACATGTTTTGGATATTCACCCCTTATCAGATATATAATTTCCAAATATTTTCTCCCATTAAGTTGCCTTTTAATTTCGTTTCACTTTCCTTTGTTGTTCAGAAGATTTTAGTGTGAGCTTATTTTCACTTTTCTGTGCTTTTTATGTCATATCCAAAAAAAATCATAGCCAAAACACATATCCAGAATTTTTTTTCTGAGTTTGTTGCTAGTGTATAAATATGTAACTTATTTTTATATATTGATTTTGAATCCTGGAACTTTACTTGTTTATTAATTCTAACAGTTTTTAATGAAGTCTTTA